AGTCATAACCTCTGACCTCTGACCTAGCTAGAGGTTATTGATTATGGTTCCATTTCTGTTCAGGCACAAAAGTAAAGGGTTACAATCTTCAGCTCTTAATCGTTTAGCAAATGTTGAAAAAACATTAATTAAATAAAGTTACAGTTTATAAAAACCCACTCTAGGTATTGATAACAATTTCGATCCTTTAAGCACTCATTTAAGTTATTTTTTTAATAGCATAAAATTATAATATGGTACAAAAAATAACTTAATATAAATGTAAAAAAATAAGTGCATTTTGGGGATTTTTGCATTATGTTTTTATATTAAATGTAGCTAAAACATTTTCATAAAAATAGCTAATTTTTCAAAAGTAATACATCCATTGAATGTCTAGAGTAGTGCAGGATAAAGGTATTTGTACTGGAAAAAAAAATTGAAATATTTTTTATATGAATTTGGAGAGTATTTGCATCTTGTAAAGATGCCAATGTCAACATTCTGCACTAGAGGGAAAAGTAGGCTGAAGTCGTATGAGACTGAACGAGGGTATTGCTTAAAGCATAGTCGAAAAATGTCTATGTTAGATTGAGGAGTTTTCAAAAATTGAATATTAGTCTACTTTATCTTTTAAAAAACCAGGTTAATGATTTCAAGTGCATGCTGATTTTCAGCAGCTTGGGAGATTCTTTTCCTGACTTATGTGTGAATGTTTTAGTCTGACACTGAAAGCTTAGATACTCTAGGTTTGGAATAACGATCCTGTATCACGTGAAAACTGGTTTTATAATTGTGCTAAACTTAAAAGGATTACCTTTGCAAGGTCTCCAGACAACTTGAATGAACTGTATGGTCCAGTAATTATATAAAACTATTCTAGGACATTGTAAATGGTTAAAAAAAAAAAAAAAATGTGCTTGAGGTACAGTACATCTTGTTAACAACCATTTACAGTATATGTAACATTTGTGAAAAAGTATGTTTACATTTAAGCTTATGAAAATATTTATCATGTGTGGATTAACAATATATTAAAGCATGTGCACTCAGTTCTTGTTTTTGAAATTCATTGCAGTTGGTTGTTGTTTGTTCATTTTCCCCCTAAAAATGAACAATTATAAATGCTGTCGTATAAGTCCCGAAATGGTAACTAACATGGTCAATATTCCCTGTTCTATTCTACTTACAATGTGAGATTAAATGAGATCTACTTAAAAAATTAATTCCTTTTCAAAGTAACAAGTTGAAACATGGTGCCATCAAATGTTACTATACGCCTAATTTGCCTCCGTTTGCATCCTCATTTAGGTATACAAATCAAACTGGGGAGACGGCAGGGAGAAGAGGAAGAATAGAGTAATCTGTGAATCGGCCATCAGGTTATGTAAATGCAGGCTAAAGGCAGCAAGACACCAAGCTTTGGAAGCCGGAAAAAAATATGCGTCACTATTCAAAAATCAATCTCTATTGATCTTCCGCAGTGGCATTACCATCCCATACCCACTGAGAGTCAAAGGAAATCTAAATAAATAAAAAAAATTCTAAAAATATGGAGAAAAAAAAAAACAACACATCAAAAATAGATAGAAAAAAAATACATATGTTTATTTTACAAGAAGGGCACATTTGTTTTTTGTCTCTGTACAAACTTTAAATATTTCCATTGGTTATATTTTCTGACATAACTTTCATGTATTAACATCAAAAACATTTAAACAGTTATATTCAAATTCTTAGTGAATTTTGCATTTTGCTGTCGATTTTAATCCTACCATAAAGAAAACATACAGCATGTAAGTCTGCAATACACATTAAGGATTCTGAAAGATAGAAAGCACTTGTGTTCATCACAACTACATTTTCAACATCATTGTACAATACTTCATCCCAGCAAACCCAGGCTCTTATTACTGCCATTAACTGCTTAAATAGAATTATTTTTTCTTTACATGAGACTCTCTGACTGAGGTTGAGGTAGGGACTCTGCCATTAAGTTAGACAGTTAAATGAGGTGAAATATCATTGCTGAAATGGCGCTGTATTTGCAGTGCCTGGCCACTTGTGTTCGGAGGTCTCTGAGGGATTCTGCACTGACAGATTTGCTACAGTTGTCATTCTTCATTGCATAAACTGATGGAGAGACTCCTGTTGCCACAGTCCTAGCTCCCTCGGTGGAACTTGTAGGAAATCCTGGAGGAAATGCTCCACATCAAGCAGAAGATTTAGCTTCCAGGAGATTTGCACTGACATCGGCATTCTCCAAAATAAAAAAAGTGGGAAGCTGTAGAGATAATTCAGAGAGCTGACAAGGTGAAGGCCAATGGGAGTTAACATATAGCCATAAAACAGCAAAGATCATTTCAGGTGTCAATCATATAGATTTGCTAACGGCAAGTGTAAAAAGATGACACAAGAAGTAGCAATTAATCTCAATGCTATCGTGAGTCCAACATACCCACCCTGACTTTTGGGGTAAAAAGAAAAACACTAATTATTTTACAGCATATGCTAAAGTACAACCACACTCAGCCAAAAGACGACCACCCCCCACCCCCCCAGAAAAATAAAAATCACGACAAGATAACAAATTAGGGCTTTGATTTGGCAATTGAATTTAGATTAATACGGAAGCAGCCGGCTCTGGCTGGTGAATTGTAAATCTAACATTAGGATGAAAGATGCAGCCAAGCAAATTTAGACGGAGACAGAGAAGGAAGGATGTGCTGAGAGTAACTGGAAGGAGGGAAACAGAGGAAAAGCACAGCCAAAGGCATGTTCCATCCTGACAGATTATACACATGCCATCTTATAATACATGTTAGAGCCGGGATGTGTTTGGAAATAATTAGAGGGAAAAAAATTAACTGGTGCTGAGTGAGCATGATATGGATTATGGTTTGTTAAAGAGATAGGTTACATAATATAGGAGAAGGGGTCACAGTATATGGAACTTTGTTTCTCTGTGGATGCTCACAGTGTGAAAGTGGCAAATAATCCAAATTGAGCCCGAACACATAAAACCCAAGCCTGATGGAGCAGAGCATGTGGAAGGCTACAGTCCAGCAGGGAGGACAATGAGGTGCTTTTGTGGCACAAACCAAGCAAAATATTGAGCTAAAAGCTTTCCCCCCTCGCTTTACTGACATCTAGATGGCATTGAATTTTCCAACACAGGAAAATCAAATGCTTTATTCAAGACCAATTGCCTTGTATTTGATTGGTTCTTCCTTTCTCAGATGTGAAACAGTTCTATACCTTCATGGGAACAAACAACATACCATGAATGATCAGCATACAGAGTAAACCCTGGCTGCTGGGGTTTATTTTCGCATCAAAATGACTGAAAGAGGAAGTGAAATAAACTTTGGACTGATTAATACATGGTATGCAAATGCCCCATACATATTTTCCTCAGAGTAATTAAAGATTTATGAAATTTAATCAAGTTATTTTCTCACTGAATAAAACATTTTAACTCTGTCTCTCTGGATTATTTTCCTGTCATTATGTTTAAAATCTGTACTTTCAGTTCCACATCAAGCTTTGTATATATTTAGTGTATGTATATTACGGAGTGTAAGGCATACTTCCTAAAAAAGAAATAAAATTCATCTAAAATTAAAAGAGATTTATTGGGTCCTGTAGCCTGTGTTCTTTTTTTGTTGTTGTTGTTCATTTTAGATTAGGGATATTTGATCTGCCAATCAAGGTATTTTTGAATGAACGACACTAAGACCCCTGATTACAGTCCACCTATAGCTCATGGTTGTGTACTTTCTTTCATATTATGTCAGCTGTAGATGCAAAAACTTTTTTATACAGCCTGTATTTTAAAGATTTGTCAGATTTTGTGTGTGCAGCTAAACTAAGTTCCTCCAAAGGCTTAATTATTTGTGTCTAGTTATCAGCTCTGGGGTTTCCCTAAAAGGCCAAGGACCAGTCCATATCACCTAAATATTTTATATTTATTGGACAGAAAAACTGAGATTTTTAAAACCCATAGATGACTAATAACATTGAGTTTGTGGTAGATACGTAGGGTCTACATTTTCAACAACTATTAAAAAGAGGCCCACTTCATGCAGGCTGGATCTGGGGTTCTGTGTTTGAAACCACAAAAACGGTAGAACCAATTTTTTTCCCCCTAATCTCTTAGCCTGTTCTCATTTCACAATTTAACACATAACAACTATATTTGAGAATGAAGAGGTGTCTTAAGGAGCAATAATAAAGTTGAAATTTTTTTTACGAGAACAAAGTCGGAACATTACAAGAATAAAGTCATAAAATTACAAAAATAAAGTTGCAACGTTACGAGAATAAAAAAGTTGCATTTTATTATTTTTTTATTTTATGACAACTCTCTCAAGAAGCACTTTCTTTCCTAAAATGGGGAAAAAGGGGGAATGTTGAGCATCATGTGAAGTTATACTTTGGCACCGGTTTGACAAATAAGGAAATCTTTTAGCGCCAGCATCAAATTGGGCAGGATTTGAAAGTAGACTCAGGTTGCAGTTTGGTGGCGCTGGTCGGCCGGCTTGAAGTTCGAAGCTTTCTTTCTGAAACGATTTGTGATATGATGACTTTATTCTTGTAATTTTTCAACTTTATTTAAGTAATTTAATGACTTTTTATCCTCATAAATGGATGACTTTATTCTCGTAATGTTATGATTTTATTCTTGTAATATTGCGACTTTATTATCATAATATTGCAAGTTTATTCTCATAATGTTATGACTTTATTCTTGTATTTGAAAAAAAATCTCTAGCCTGGTTCTAATGCGCTGTCATAGAACCATTGTCATAAAAAAAAACAAAAAAGATAAATTTCAAAAGATAAAGTTTAGTTTAACCCTGCATCAGGCAAACTCAAAATTATGTTCTTATAAATTCTGATGAAGGAATTGTGGCTATTCATCCAGCTGGTGACAATACATATGTATCATGGCATTTTAATAGAAATCTCAATGGAATTGTATATTTATATATATATACTATATTAACAGGGATGCTGAAAATTAGATGTAAACTACAGTTGGTTAAAATTACCCTGAACTTCATCAATAAAGAAGACAATAGAGCAAAGTGAGACATGACCACAAAGCTGTTGTTGATAATCTAATACAAAATAAATACATTAAAGTTGTGACAGCAAATTTTTTGTTTAAAGGAAAATCACAAGTAAAAAAATATCTAGTTTGGATTGTAGCCATAATATGGACAATGCAAAATCAGGTTTCTGAGGAAGCAATACATCTGATTAAAACCACTGAAATAAAGCCGCAATGCCAACCATTGCTAAGGCAGCTGTATCCTGATTAGCAGCAGCTGGAAAATTCTATGATAACACTTAAAGGCCTTCTACTTTGAAATTTACCAATTTACTCCTAATTAGTCATAATCGTATTGTTTTGTTTTCAAAGTGCATCTGTGCAAAGACACAAAACATGTCCGACAGCTATGAGCCGATCCACATCCTGGTGTGTTGTCTGTGACTCCACCTCTACAAAACGGAGCAACTCTATCACACTGCGTGCTCCACATCGCCTCTACAGCGCAGTATGGTGCCCAGCGTGAGCAATTTACAAATCTGATATCTGCAAGTTTGCAAAAGGTCACCAAGTGTCAACTGTGCTTTAGCTCAGTGAACCTGCATCCCTGATTTCTCTTTATGACTGCATTTTTTTTAAATGTAAGCAAAAATATTTGGCATCATTAGAACCTGTATGAGTTGTCAAAGGAAGTACCTAAAAATAAGGGCTGCCAAAGAAGATTGTGAAGAGAGCGCAGACAGGAACACAAATATTAAAAGAGGATAATGTAGGAGTAGGCGAGGAGTGAGAGATAGGGGGTGGTAAAAGAGAATGGGATTTGTAGATTGTGTAAACAAGAGTAGGAAAATGAGGATAAGAACACACTGAATGACTCTGCTTAATGGGAGGGCGGGCAATAAAAGAAGGATAGAGGAGAGAAAAAAACGAGCGGGGTGAGATGTTTTGTTCAATTCCATTTGGCTCTGATTTGATAAGAGAAAGGATAAAGGGGACTGATTACAAACCATATCAGTCATTTCTAAATTTTCCATTCTTTCTCTTTCTCTGTCTATCTGGATGATTTAACATCAGCATCTTAAACTAAAGATAAGGCTAACCAATCTTATTTAGGCTTGACTTAGACAAAGTTGCCTTAGTGTTTACAGAAATTTCATCTTTATTTTAAAATAAAATGGTGTAAAAAATGTACTGCACTTGTTTTTCCACATTGCTCTTTCCTTAATGTAACACCTACAAAGCACCTACCTACATGATATTTCACTAGTACTACATTTTTTCCTCTGCTGACCAAAGTGTGTTTACATCCCGCCAGAGTTCCATTTTAATGCTGAACTGTACAGCACACGCATGCAGATGTATACATCCTAGGAGATATAATAAAGATGTATGCATATGCATTGTTTTTTTTCTGCTTTAATGTACACATAAACAACATTTAGAACCAAATATAAGGATTTCATCCACAAATACTGAAATTATTTTGCAGATAGTTATACCCAAGATAAAGTGCCTTTACATTTGAACATTCTGTAGGTTATCTATGTAGATTTTTGTTGACAGTCTGGAGTCTTGTCATTTGTTTTTTTTTTTTTTCTGTCAGGCATATTCTTGGAGATCCTTGTCCTTTTGTGTGTTAAACTATCCTCATGTGTGAGCTTTTGTCTCATTGAATTTTGATCCATCTTTACAAGGTGTCTTTAACTTGACAAAGCTTTGTGTTGCCCGTTCTGTGTGATGGGATTGATCTTTTCCAGTGTGACCTCAGTATCACTGTCTAAATTCCCAGAAATGGCTGGGGATGGTTTCGCCAGGGTGTTGTTTGCCCCCATCTCAATCTCCCCTCCACATCCATCTTTCCTTTGTAATTCATCCTCCTGACACTGGATGCTGTGGGGAATCATATAGCTTGCAGAGTTGTTCCCTTCCTTGGGGATGTGGCTCTTAGGCTGATACTGAGAGTTAGGGTTGGGCGCATGGGCAGCCATGTTGTTGTTAATGCTGACGATCTCAATAGCATTGCTCCCTGGGCACAGCCGATGGCAGCCAAGGAGGATGGAGAAGGCCTTGCGGAAGTCTGCGTTGAAGGCATAGATGATGGGATTGAGGGAGGAGTTTGCCCAGCCAAACCACACAAACACATCAAAAGTTGTGGAGCTGATGCAGAAGAACTCTGTGGACCCATCTGGCAGGTTTGGTTCGCAAAAAGGAACCATGCAGTTCAGGATAAAGAAGGGCAACCAGCAGCATACAAACACACCCATGATGACAGAGAGCGTCTTTAAGACTTTGGTTTCTCGTTTAAAAGACATTTTGAATGAGCTCTCGCTCTCAATATTTGAGTTGTTCCCCATACTGCTATGTCGGTTTTTGGCACTCTCCGCTGCACGTTCCAGGGCAGATATTCTTCTAATCTGTTTCTGGGCAATGCGGTAGATCCGGGTATAGGTGACGAGCATGATGGCTACAGGGATATAAAAGCTGATGAGAGAGGAGGAGATAGCATAAGTCCTATTAAGGCTAGAGTCACAGTTATCAGGAGGCAGATCACTGGGGTATGTCCCATTTAGCTCTGCATAACTGGTGGTCTCAGCTTTGTGCCAGTCTAGCTGAACAGGAATAAAAGAAATGAGTACAGACAAGGTCCATGCTACACTGATCATCAGGCACGCCACCTTAGGGGTCATTTTGCGTTCATAACGGAACGGACTAGAGATCGCCCAGTAGCGATCAACACTAATGACACACAGGTTCAAGATGGAGGCAGTGGAACACATAATGTCAAATGCTACCCAGACATTGCAAAATGCCCCAAATGGCCAAAATCCCATGATCTCTGTGGCCGCTTTCCATGGCATCACCAAAATAGCCACCAGGAGGTCTGAGATGGCCAGCGAAATTACAAAGAAGTTGGTGACCTTTGACCTTAGGTGTCGGAACTTGGTAACAGCAGCACACACCAGGGTGTTGCCAAGCAGCGTGGTAAAGATGAGCAGGGAAAGAAAGCATCCTGTGAGGACACGCTTAGACGAGTCTCTCTCTGGCGTGAGCTGCTTGCTGTCTCTTACCATTGAGAAATTCTGATCCATTGTTTTAAATCGCGGCACTAATGCAGTAAGAGAGGGAGGATGGGCGAATGGGGATGTCAACAATCACCCCATCACAACCACGGGTTGAAGAAGCTGTGCTTCTGCTCAAGCTTTTGATTTTACACAGAAGGTGAAGATGGTAATTGCCTGGGTCCCAGCTCTCTCTCGGACTGGGTCATCCACTGGCTGTTCATCACAAAAAACATTTTTGTGAAAGTGCAGCTATAAATTCTTAAGTATTTCCTCTTCAGAAATATCCTTTCCAAAAATCCCCGGTCCACAGATTCCTGCAGCAGCAGCAGGGCAGAGGGTCGACATTCTAGTTTGTAGAGCGGGAGCAAATTTCCAGCTGTTGTTTACATCCGCATTCCCAGTCAGGAGCAGTTTTCATGTAATAATCTGAAACAAAAATAGATCCATCAAATGAAGATCTTCTTTTTGCACCCTGTTTTTGCATGCAGCTATTGTTTCAGAGCATACTGTTGCTGAGCTTTCCAGTCAACTGATGTTTTGCCAATCATTAGCCTTATATACCACCACATCAATAACTTCCATTGATGGTTTTGGCACTGCATTTATCTGATTTGTTTAATGATTTTTGAGGCGTCTCCCTATGTGTATCGATGTGGATTCACCCCTAATAAAAGGTGGCTTCTTTTTTATTATACTTTACATTAATATTTCTTTATATCTTTAATAATTTAACTAAATAAAATAAAAGGTGTGCATAGTGATTGAAAGTAGTAATTGGTGAGAAAAGTTAAATTATATCATGAATTTTTGGTGTGATCTGCAGTCAAATCCTCATGCGTTTTCCCTAGTTGTGGTTTAACGCGCATGGCCATTAAAGAAAGAAAAAAAAGACGTGTCTCATCCTGACCACCCACCTAAATCTTCTCTGACAGTTGGATCCCTTGAAGGACGTCCTTTAAATTCCGATGCAGTTTTAGGTGTTGATCAGGAGGCTTTTATCTTAAGACAGCGTGCGCCTTGCTGTGCGGCAATAAACAGCTCCGGAAACGCTCAGGCGTCCTGGGTCAGCTTAGAAAAATATATATATATTT